CGTACGTGAAGTGGCAAAAATGCCGAGCTGTAAGTCGTTGAGGAGGAGTCGGGCTAGGATACTGACCAACTAAACCCTAAACCCTAAACCCTAAACCCTAAACCCTAAACCCTAAACCCTTAGGGTTTAGGGTTTAGGGTTTAGGGTTTAGGGTTTAGGGTCTCCAGGAAGGAATCTGTCAATCGCTCGACGCAAGACTTCAGACGCTGAATGCGACAACAGAAGACCCCAAATCCTAAACCCTAAACCCTAAACCCTAAACCCTAAACAGTGCCGTCCCCACCACTGCTCGCTGCTTCAGCGCCAAACCCTAAACCCCAGGCCCTAGCCCGCGCTCGCGCTGCTGCGTCCCTCCAGGGGAACTCCAAACCCCAAACCCCAAACCCCAAGCCCTAATCCCAAACCCCAAACCCCGAACCCTAAACCCTAAACCCTAAACCCACCCTTTGCGGGCATTTTCTGGGCGAGCAGGAACTGGAAAAAGCCGAACCAAACGTCGGAAAGAAAAGCACAAGAAAGCAAACAAGTTTGATAAGCAGCAGAAACCCTAGCAGCAAAAGCTGCTGCATGCAGCCGCAAAGGGTTTGTCAACTCGTACGCCAAAACCCCCCGCCACGCGCACGCGTGCGCCTGCGCACAAACCCTAGACCCTAAACCCTAAACCCTAAACCCTAAACCCTAGCTGCGCACCGCCAGCTCATCGGGAGGGCAAACGCTGGGGAGAGACGGGCCCGTCGCTGCGCGACACACCCTAAACCCTAAACCGTAACCCTGAAGAGGCTCTGGCGGCCTACAAACGCCACAAACCCTAAACCCTAAACCCTAAACCCTAAACCCTACCTGCCGCGACTTATCAGGGACAGAGAGGGGCAGCGCAACGCACGACCAGTCAATGTCTCGCGTGAGGCGCGTCAACTCCTGCAACCCAAAACCCCAAACCCTAAATCCCAAACCCTAAGCCCCAAACCCTAAACCCTAAACCCTAGCACGATCCGCAGGCCCTGTTTGCCGAAGCAAAAGCACTGGTGTCTTACCACGACGCTGCTTCCCGCTGCCCCTAAACCCTAAACCCTAAACCCCAAACCCTCCACCCCAAGCCCCAAACCCTAAACCCCAAACCCTATACCCTAAACCCTAAACCCTAGGCGTACCACGTGGGCCTTTCTGGCGTAAGTGAACCTCTGTTCCCAAAAAGAAATTAATTTAGTTGACAATTGAGAATTGGAATTAACAGCTCTTTCAAACGCGCAGTAAGAAACCCACACTGCCTCCAAACCCGCCACTGCCCGCGACAGGCACTGCAGCGCAAACCCTAAACCCTAAACCCTAAACCCTAAACCCTAGACCCTAAACCCTAAACCCTAAACCCTAAACCCTAAACCCTAGACCCTAAACCCTAAACCCTAAACCCTAAACCCTAAACCCTAAACCCTAGACCCTAAACCCTAAACCCTAAACCCTAAACCCTGTGTCGGGTTCCAAGGCAGCGGGAGTCAACGGCAGCAGAAGCAAAACCCTCGCACGAACACGCCACTGCCGCAGGAGCCCCAAAAACCCCGAACCCCAGCCCCCAAACCCCAAGCCCTAAACCCTAAACCCTAAACCCTAAACCCTACTGTTTGGTAGTTTGTCCGCAGCACGTTGACGTCCCCGTACTGGTCCACCAAACTGCTGCCTCCAGGAGACAAAGGAGTCCTAAACACTTTCTGCTCCAAGTCTGTGGGAATCAGAGGGCCCGTGGCCTGCGTGGCGCCCCAAACCCTAAACCCTAAACCCTAAACCCTAAACCCTGGACCCTGGAAGTGGGACTCTGGGCCTAGACGGCGGGCCGTGAGGAGCCAGCGCGGCGCGCTGGGCTGCAAGCACTGCCGGCGGGAGCCGGCTGCACCTAGGGTTAAGGACTTAGGGTTTAGGGTTTAGGGTTTAGGGTTTAGGGTTTACTCTGCCGGTGAAGTCCGATAGAAGGCCCTGCACCTGCCCCCGAGTTAAGAGAGAGGCATTATAAATTCGAATGTCCAGCAGCAGCAGTTCTCGCCAGAGGGGGGCTGCGCGGGGGTCCCAGCGCAGCTGCAGCACACACGAGGGTTTAGGGTTTAGGGTTTAGGGTTTGGAGCGCGGCGCCTAGGGTTTGGGGGCCCCTAGGGTTTAGGGTTTAGGGTTTAGGGTTTACCTTGTCTACGGCGCGCATCAACGCCTTTCGGAATTCGTCGACGGTCCCGGTGCAGTACACGAACTTCACATAGGACGTCCACAGCTCTGCGCAAAACCCTAAACCCCAAACCCTAAACCCTAAACCCTAAACCCTAAACCCTAAACCCTAAGCCCAAAATCCCAAGCCCTGCTGCGCCGCAAGCCCCCGCCCCTGGCTGCCGGCGGCCTGCCGCGTCGGCGGGCAGCGCGGGCCTTCTCGCCCTCGCTGTAGCTAGGGTTTAGGGTTTAGGGTTTAGGGTTTACCGAGTTGGGGGCAGACGGTGAGGCCGCGGGCGTAAACCCCCTGGGCCCTGGAAATGTTGAAATTTAATATTTCAAATTCTGCCATTCGAAGCCAAAATGCTGCAGCAGTTGGAAAGAACAAAAGGGCCCTTTCGAAGGCCTCCGTAGAGGGACACTCCTGCAGCACACAAGGGTTTAGGGTTTAGGGTTTAGGGTTTGCGCGCTGCGCACGCGCCCGCGGCCCCAGCTGCAGAAACAGCAGCTCCAGCAACAGCCGCAGCTCCAGCAGCAGCAGCAACAGCTGCAACGGCACCCGAAGTTGCAGCAGCAGCAGCAGCAGCAGCAGCAGCAGGGCCCCTACGGCTAGCAGGGCCTCCCAAGTTTGTCTGTCGAAAGGGTTGGCCCTCAGCTGCCCCTCCAGCGCCAAAATGGTGGGGTTGTTGTTATTTCGGAGGCCCTCGGGGGGCCCCCTTTTGTGGCGAAGACCCACGAAGACCCCATCCACTTCCAGCGCGTACAGCGGCAGCACTTCGCATGCAAGGGGCTGGGGGCCCCC